ACCACTTTTTTGGTACTTACGTACATTTCCTATGACAAGTTAGACACACATTTACATTAAAAAAAATCTCACTAGACCAGAGTTACCTGAAACCTTTGCAATAGCTACAAGTTCTTAGTTTCTGAGGGATAAAAACTGGTTCTAGATTTTAATATTGTGAATCCCAATTATCACATTAGTACACAAGTAAGTGCTGGTGCTGTTTATACTCCTTTGCCAAACCCTCAATTCACTTTTAGCACCTTTGAGGAATGTCGGACAGTATCTAGGAGCTGATTAGTAAGACAATAAATTGTACACCTTGAAACTAATTTGGCATATTAAACTTGAGTTTCAAACTAGTTTACAATCAATCACAGTTCAAATTTACAAGGATAAGCAATTAGATGAATGGTTTGAATTTGGTAGTTGTTTCTAATGTATCATCTTAATGCTTCAAATAAAGGCCCAACTGAGTGGAAGGTCAATAGATAAATAGATGAATATGACATTTAATTTCTGTGTATGGCATTGGCACTGGATGAATGGCCCATGTGCTACAGCTCAAAATACTGAAAGGAGTTGGCCCACACTTGATGTATAGCATTACTTTTTAAGTCCAATGTACCAATCAGATTAACGAAAATTTAATTATCTTTAAAATGAAGTTAGTGCACGTATTTTTTATTATCAATCAGTATATATAAATATTGCATAGATAGTATTTAACACATTGTTGGTGATAGCATCATTAACAAATATTTGTATCATACTAAATGACATTAAAACAGTAGAAAGTTGACGATACAAGAAAAAGTGGAATAATAAATTCTCCTCATGATATTTATTGATAACAACAATTACATTAAAAAAACTATAACAGTAGTTAGACATTAAGTCATCCAGGGTATATTGCTAACAAGGAACAGCTTTATTACAGTTACAAAAGAAGTGTAGAGAAATCTACAGAGGACAAGCTGGTATGAAAAATGCTTTGATCCTTTGTTTTTACAAAAAGTAATAATAATTTTATGAACTCCATTAAACCTGCAATAACTAGTTATGACTAAAACAATGAAAAATGATTCTATTCATGAGTTATCTAACTCAGAACCCTCAGTTACTTGTTGATGAAGGCTATTTTTTACACCCAGTAAGAGAAGGTAATTTCAAAGCGAGGATGCAGTTTTCATTACTTTTTTAGTTAAAGGCTTAGAATACATTCAAATGAGCTAATAAAAAACCCATAAATACAGGCATATATAAATGGCAAACAATTATTTGTTATTCATAAGACATTTACAAATTTTACATACAAAAAACAAACAGACAGCATGAACTATAAAAGTGTCATAATACAAAATAGGAATTCATGCAGAAATATGAACATTGTAATCAAAATATACTACCTACCACTGTCTACAGCCTTCTGATGATGTTGAAATAACATAGCTAGTCTAGCACAATTGTACTGAACAAAACATCCTCCTTTCTCTGCTAGTATTTCGTGGTCTTTAGAGAGATGAAGTTTTACCTATGTGGTTAATAAAGAATGATTCTTCCTTTGGAATAGTTTGGTTATAAAATTTACAGTTATACACAAATTTTTAAAAAAATTATAAAAGCTAATGACAAAAATAATAAATAATTCTGCCAAACAAAAAAAAGAGGGGAAATATTCCTACAAAATTCAAAGTTAAGTCTCAATTTCTCCATATGTAAGTGTTGAGTTTCTCATTTCAAAATGTAATTGATGGATAGCCACTATTATTATGATGTCAGTATGGCACACTTTATGATATTATACTAATCCAGACATACAAAAGAAATGTGGTAATAAGCAGGGATGAAATTCTGTCAGTACTCCCTGGTACTGAGTACCAGAACTTATTTTTTAAGGTAATACTAGTACTAGGACTTATTTGAGCTGCTTTGTCATATTTTATATTTACACTTAGATTTATTTTCTTTTTCAAAAAAGGGTCCACTTCATTCAGCCGAGTACCTCTACTTTGTTTTTGAAAATGTCATCCCTAGTAATAAGGGATTAAAAATGTGTATAAACTTCCATGTAACTTAACCCTTTAAGGCCTGGTGGTGATTATAATATCATCTCTAACTCTGCATAAATAAAAATTAATAATTTATAAAAGTCATCACATCTGAAACAGACACTTCAAACACATGGCAAGATAACTATAGGACCTTTTAAAACATAAATTTAATTTTTGATCAATATACGATTTATCATACAATAACATCCACTACATAAGATGGCTATGTACTATGCTGTTACACCTGCAACTGTTAACTTGAAAGCCAGTTTTCATACATATATTATAGTAGGCCAAATGACATCATCATGTGCTAGGCTATTTTGTTGACAGAAATGGTGCAGTCAAAAATCATTTCAACTTTAAAACTAATATAGATTGACACTATTTTTCTCATTTGTTTTATACATAAAACTTACCTATGTCCTTATTTTACTAATTTATGTAACGTGTGTTCAAAAAAAAGATGTCACATCTTTACCTTTGCCCAAGGGTGAAATATGAGTCTAAGCATGAACAATGGTCTCAAGTTACAAAACTTATGAACTCTTGTGAACAGAAAATTAACTGTCAAGGAAATAACTTTGGCAAACTAAATAAACATGGAGGGAAACTCATAAGTTAATTTATTACCTTTTCGTTGCTTACAAATAACAGAAAACCATTACTAATTTAGAAGAAAATTGACCCCCTCATAGCCTTGAGGCTTTTCAAAACATAATAATAAAAAATTTCCAACTTTAAAACCTATTGTATATAAAAAAAGATAAATTTACAACAAACATATACAATATCTTATGATTTTGTTAGCTTTAGAAACTTGCAAACTGTAAATAAAAGAAAAACATTTGGATAGTTGAATTTTACAGTTCATGACACCACCAATTTAAAAAATTCATTGTTTTCAAACTATTTGAGCTCAAAATAATCCTCAAGTCTATTTAAACTTTTCACAAAAAGATATGCTAGGGTTATATGTGCATAGCTGTCCCTTGTTTTGAACAGACAGACTATAGGGAATGCAGTTGGTCAACAGCACACACCACCAAATTTTGGGCTTCTCTTTGTCTGACTAAATTATATAATTTGACCATCACTCTTACACTGCACCTACAGCCCAATGTTGTTTTTGCAGCAACAGGTAATGTCATTTTCCACCATCTTTTAAAGTACCATAAAGTTTTACTACTTTATCATCAGACAATAATTTAACATTGATTATTTAAAGTAAAAGTTCATTCCTCCATAACATTAAAATACATTTAATTTCTAAGCTTTTAACTGTACTATTAAATTCAGGTCTTTAAAAAAATCACATGGCTAGAATCATTTCATATACAGAAAACTTTTAAAGAAAAAGAGTTCTATAGTTAATTTTAATTTCACATTTGTAAACCACATTTAAAAATAAAACTGTGATGGATGTAGTTTACTTTAACATGACACTATATTTATACTGCAAAAATTAAAAGTATAAAAACATACTGTTTGGTTTTGACCCGTGCGTAAAATATCAAAAATCATCTTGGTTTCAGTCAAGGTTTCAAGACAATAGCTCCCCGATTCATCACCTATGTATATATGACAAAAAATACAAACAAAATAATCAAAGATAATGAGGTAAAAACTATGACAACTACATAGTCAAAATCATACACACACACTACAATTTTTTCATTATAAGCTAGGGCTTTAGAAAAAGCTTCTTCACAATGGTTATATGGTTTTTCCTCAACCCTGAAACTTCCAGTAGAGGTAACATTAAATACAATTGTTACTAATACTTGTCTTTAAAAGATATTCTCTCATTACCAAATGATTTGACTAGACAAAAGATAATACCTTGTAGTGAGATGTTTTTTTTATTACAGATATGGATCCATTTATTGTGAAAAAAAAAGGACGAAAATGTTTCCATGCAATTAAAAAACTGGCACCTTAATATGTTTTGTATACATAAATACAAAAAAATAATTAAAATGTTTTGATTACAATGCATGCTTGACAAAATGCTAAAAAAAAGTGTGCAGAATTATACCAATACACATTTATAACATAATCCTTATGATTTATTATAATATGTTGTAATATTTAATATATAATAATATTTGATATTTATTGCATAACATTGCACATGAACTGACAAGACAAGATTTTTTACTTGGTAAACTTCTCATATCTTACAAAAGCCTAATAGATAGAAGCTACTTAAATCACTGGACTAGAGATTATCAATAGAAATCTGTAAAGATTATTGGTGGGCAGAAAGATTGTGCCAAACTCCTCTAGCATATAATAGTAGTAGAAGTAATAGTAATAAAATAATCTTATTTACATTATTTATTTATAATAAAGGTTAAAAATATAAAAAATATACAACAGTAAATAATAAAAATGTAAATGTAGTTGCTGCTGCCCTCCTGTGAACATTAGTTTGTAATTAGGGATGGGTCCTGGACTGCACATTGACAAATGTACTGTGATGTCACTCCATTATTACTGGGAGAAGAGCCTAAGCTTTAGACATAGTTAAACTCCTCAAGTGTGGAAATCTATCAGTTTAATTAAAATAATTTTTTTATAATGGCCTAGAAGTTGGTATAAGGGATTGTTTTAGCCATATTATTAAATAAGTATTTATCACGTGATTAGATATATATTTAATTACCAAATGCTAAGTTATAGGTATACAATGTGCTGTGTATTTTGTTCAAGTACATTAAACAGTTACCAATTATGTAGGTTTATTGCAGTTATCATTTTAGTTTTAGGTACACAGTTTTAGTGTCGTGCTTCATACGGTGTTACCATCTATTTAAAAGAAATATGTCTGTCAATCAGTCAGTATGTGTTTGAATGCTAGCTCACATGGAAATCTATTATTCCTATTCGCTAACTGTACAATGGTACTTATATACACCTGGAAAAAAGTTAAGC